CATTTTTAGTATATAAATTATAGTCTGATAATAAGATCAATTATTTAAAATGAATTATATCTATCAAACACATATTTTTATACATATCTATTATAATTGACAATAAATATGATTTAAATTAATACATTTTATTGAATATGAATTTAGTATATATAAATTTTAGCCTGATATCAGGCTTAAAATTTATATATATATATATAGTAAACTAATATTTTTTATATAAATATATTATAAATGGCAATATATAATATGATTCAAATTAATACATTGGATATGAAAATTTTTGTTATCATGATATAATTTTGACCTGATAATAAGGTCATATGATATTATATATTTAAATATAAAATTAGATAAATTTTGAATAAATTTATTATTTATTTTATTAGGTATACCCACAACAAATTTTTTAAGATACTATAAAAAATATAAAATTTCTGGAACTATGCCCAAGATAGGCCAAAATAATATATTATTATTTAAATATTTATACATTAGATAAAGATTCAAGCTTATTATCATGCAATTCAATTAAACAAAAAAATACCCAAATCATGGAATTAATAAAATGGCTGGTGAAGAATAATTTTCTTCATTTATGAGAAGAAATCCAAGATTATCTCTAAGATCTCCTGAGGCTACTAGTTTAGCTCGAGCTGCTGGTTTTAATCAAGAGGCTGTTCTATATTTTTTTAATCTATACAAGAGAATACTAGATCAACATGAATTAAGACCTATGTCAATTTATAATATGAATGAAACAGGCTTAACAACAGTGCAAAATCCATCAAAAATTGTTGCGCAGAAGGGTCAAAAACAAGTCGTAGCCATCACTTCTGCAGAGCAAGGCACTCTAGTGACAATGGCGCTTGCTGTTAATGCCTTAGGGAATTTCCATAATTTTGAAGATTGGGTTCAATGTAGAGTATGTAAAGGTTTGGCGCATGGATCCTGTGCCAAAAAAGATTGTTATTTTATTTGTTATAATTGTAAATAGAACATTATATAAATAAAGAATTATAGTTATATATTAAAATCTGAAAAAAAAAAATTTTTTTTCATAGGAAGCCTAATAAACCACTTGATTCGACTAGCCCCATCGATGAACTACTAACCACGGGTTTGGGGTTACTAGGTTCAAAAAATGACTTTTACTAAAACTTTTTTAGAGAAAAAAATATTAGATATTTAAAAAATATAACAGCATATATTTATAGATAGATGTTTAAGGTATTTTGTAAGATTCTATTTGATAATTATTTTCGGAGCTATGATAATTTTGACAAAAATTGCGCCGACTAGCCCTGATCTCCCCTAATAATATAAATTTATATGGGTGACAATTGTCAAATTCGTCATTTGAAATTCTCCAATATTTTTTAATGAAAATATATAAAATTGAATATTATACATTTGTGAAAATTTAATAATAATGAGATAAAAATGATATTCCAAATATTTTATTTAGAAAATGTCATTAATTCAGTTATACTGTACTAAATGATTCAGGATTTTTTTGATTTATAAATATAATTATTATTGGGTTCAATTCAAAGTATTTGTAAATATATACTAAAAAAAAATTCTGAGGATTTTCTAAGGGGTTTTGGATAGAGAATTAAATTCTGAGTTTAATGATATAAATATTATAAAAATTACTTTTAAAATGTTAGACTTTCCTCTATAAATGTCTTTCACGACAAAAAATTGATTTTGTGAACCGGAAACGTAAAAAAATACATCTAAGCGGTTTAGGATAGATAATTTAATTCTGAGTTCAATGATATAAATATTATAAAAATTACTTTTAAAATGTTAGCCTTTCCCTTATAAATGTCTTTCGCGACAAATAATTTATTATGTGAACCGGAAACGTAAAAAAATACATCTAAGCAATTTTGGATAGAGAATTAAATTCTGAGTTCAATGATATAAATACTATAAAAATTACTTTTAAAATGTTAGCCTTTCCCCTGTAAATGTTTTTCGCTACAAAAAATTTATTTTGTGAACCGGAAACGTAAAAAAATACATCTAAGAGGTTAAATTCTGAGTTTAATGATATTATTATATTCAAAATTACGTTTAAGATGTTAGCCTTTCCCTTCTTAAATGCTTTCTCAAATTAAAAATACCTTAAAAAATTTATGTTTCTCATTTACTTCTTTATCAAGTAATTACAATATATTTATACTTACTCAATATATAAATTCATAACCAATTATTAATTTAATTAAAAATATTAATTTAAAAATTAATATAATAAAATTAATTTTTAAAAACCGCAAATTATTTCAAAGAATTAATAAAAAAATTGAAAAGATCTTAAAATTTCCATATTTTTAATATATTATAATGTAATGTTATTATAATATTTTTTCTCTAAAAAAAGCAATAAATCAATCAAATATCTCATTAAACATTTTCTTTGTTATTTTTATTTTCAATATTATTTTTCAGCCTTTCGTATTACCAAGCCTTTCGACTTATAGACCTACCCGAAAATGAGTACTATTTTTAAAAATAATAAAAAAATACCAAAAATTAAGTATTTTGTTTTGTGCAATTTTTATGTATGATGTAATGCCTATATAAATAAATAAGTACTAAATTTATAATGTGTTTATTTTTTTGAAAGGAAAAAAAAGTTAAATAAAACGAAAAGTAAATAATATTTTTTTGTTTTTTTCTTTCAACAAAGCAGGGAGAGGGAGGTAGAAAAGAAATAATATATAAATAAAATAAATTTCAAAATCGTGTGTGCATTTCAAATAAAATAGAAGGCGAAGGGTGAAGTTTTTATTTTTATTATAAAAAGAATTATATATATTATTTTTTTTATATAATTAATGGGGTTCCACGTCTTTATAGAGAAACTAGTGTTGTTAAAAAGTCGAGTTCACCCGACTCCGACTCAGAGTCTCGAGTCGTTAGTCGAATATGTCGACTAACTCAAACTCAAGTCGACTCGAGTCGTGAACTCAAGTCGACCCAAGTTGTGAACTCAAGTCGTGAGCTTAAGTTCTTAAAATATTCGTCCTCTAGTCGACTAGAGGGCGAATATTTTATGAACTTGAGTCGACTAGAGGACGAATATTTCAGATATAATTATTAATTAAGATAGTTTTTGTATTTTACTACTTTCGACTTCCAACTTGAGTCGTGACTCGTGAATATAATTAAATAATTGAGTCGACTAGAGGACCAATAGTTTTATGAACTTAAGTCGACTAGAGGACGAATATTTCAAATTAGTTATTATTTAAGATATTTGTTGTTATTTACTTTTTACTTTAGACCTCCAACTTGAGTTGTGAATATATAGTTATCGAATAGAGGACGAATAGTTCTCTGAACTTGAGTCTCAATTTAAGTCGATTAGAGGACGAATATTTCAAATTAATTATTATTTATTAAATATTTTTTCTGCTTTTTACATTTTTTTACTTTAGACTTCTAATTTGAATTGTGAAAACTGAAAAGAATTATATAAATGAGTCGACTATATGATGAATATTCCAAATTAGTTATTATGAAAATATTTTTTGTTTTTTATATTTTTTTACTTTAGACTTCCAACTTGAGTCTTGACGTGAATAAGAATTATATATTTAAAGTTGAGTCGACTAGAGGAAGAAAAGTTCTATGAACATGAGTCGACTAGAGGACGAATATTTTTAATATTATTAATTAAGATATTTTTTGTTTTTACATTTTTTACTTTAGACTTCCAGTTGAGTCGTGAATACATTTATAGTTGAGTAGATTAGAGGACGAATAGTTAAAATTAATTGTTATTATTTAAGATTCTATTATTTACATTTTTGTACTTAAAAATTTCAACTTGAGTCGTCAATTTGTGTCTACTAGAGGACGAATATTTTAAATTAATTATTAAGATATTTGATCTGTTATTTATATTTTATTACTTAAGACTTCCAACTTGAATTATGAATACCAATTATTTACTTCATTAACTTATTCCTCATTTTACTTGATCAAATAAATTCTTATTAACATTTTTTGATTGAATACTCAAAAAAATTCTTATTTACGATTGAATAATATTCTCAAATAATAAAATATTTTGCAGGTATCTGAATATTTTGAAATTATATCTCAACTATATTTTGAATTTTATATAAGACAGACATGTGATAATAATCAAAACTATGAGATGACGGGTGAATCTTCTTTAGCATTCCTCCTCATCTGTATTTAATATATATTAAGTATATTTATAGTCCCTCTTTTAGGTAATTATTTTATTTAGTCATTAATGGTTAATAACTATTAAAATATTTTAATAATATCAAATGTACTTGTCCAAGATACATATATAAAATTAGAAGAAAAAAATAAATATACGTGTTTAAAAAATAGCGATAAAATTAAACAAATATGGCCAGAAAGTTCGTACTTAATTCTGAACTATGATAGAAGATAGCGATACTATTAAATCTAGACATATTGACACATTTAATGAAGGTGTCATGACCGGTCTGTTGTTTTGAATCCTCTTTTTCTAATACCGGAAATTATTTTAAAACTCAAAAAATAGAAGATTTATTATATTTAAATTTATAAATATAAAAAATAAGAAAAAAAATTCTATTATGATTATTTACTAGATTAGATTGAAAATATATTTTATTTTTAAACAAAATATTTTTATCTGGGATGGAATTGTGTGTTTTTATTGATTCAATCGATCCTCATGTGTTGAAGTTGAGTCAATTTTATGACATTTTTTTAAATAAAATTTTAAATATAAAAAAAACAAAAATGCATACATGTGTTGTATATAAATTATACAATACCATACAGTATGGTATTGAATCTTTTTAATTAAATATATTTAATCTAATAATTAATTTAATAAAATTCTAAGATATAAAATAAAATTAAAAGTATTTTAAAATACGATATTTTGTATTAATATTTTGTTTTAGATTTATTATTTATATGACTGCGGCATATATTAATTTTAATTTCTTATTCGAATAAATACTGATATAAAAAAAATAAACAATAATAATTAAATTTTAAATATTTATTTTATTAAAATTCTAACTTATAAAATAAAATTAAAAGTATTTTAAAATTCCATATTTTGTATTGATAGCTTGAAGATTTATTTTTATATGACTGCGGCGTATATTATTTTCTTATTCGACTCTGTGAATGACTCAGAAAATGTTAGTAACTATGACAAAAATGAGGACGTGGACGACATTAACATAATGCCTGATGATATAGACCCTTATTCGGAGGTAAAATTATAAGTTCCACGTCAATTCGGCGCGGAAATTCGGCGCGGCGTTAATTCGGCGCATCGTATGTGAGCACATTTAGTAATTATGTGGCTACATTACTTGATCCTAAAATAAAATTAAATATATGCCTAAAATATTAGTTAAGGCGGACTATATGGAAAAATTTAAAATATTATATAAAGGTTTTGAATTTCCATCTAACAGATCTATTGTTTACGAGATGACATGGATACTCAGCCGTATTCTGTTTGCATGCATCACGAATTGAGAAAGTAATTAAAATATATTATATTATATTATAATTTTTAGGGAGGCATATGAATTCCCTGATCTTATAAAAGATGAGATCAAGGATTATCTCGATGATAAAGTAGCGTCCCCTACAACGAATATACTAGATTGGTGGGAAAAAAATAGCCTTATCTATCCTACATTGTCGCTGATTGCAAAAGATTTTCTTGCCCAGCAATCATCAAGTGTGCCGAGTGAGAGAGCCTTTAGCAAGACAGTGGATTTCCTGACGAAAAAAAGAAATAGGATGTCACCATCCACCTTAAAGCATTGTTTATCCTTAAATAACTGGGATATCGATATATGGCAATAATATCTATATTTTTTTCTTATGTTATACCATATAATATTTTTTTCTTATGTTATATTTATATTATTATATCTTATTTAGAAACAGAAAAATAAAGTAAATTATGTAATTGTTGTTTGATTAGATTAAGATAAGATAATTTTTTACTAAAGAGGTGATTTTTTAAATATTTTAAAAGCTATTAACCATTAATTATAAAATAAAATAATTATCTAAAAGAATGACTAAAGAGGGACTATAAAAATACTAAATATATATTATATACAGCTAAGGAAGAGTTCTAAAGAAAATTCACCCATCATCTCGTAATTTTGATTATTATTACACGTATGGTTTTCTTATATAAAATTTAAATAATGGTGAGATATAATCAAAATATTCAGATACCTGCAAAATAATTTTTAAGAATATAATTCATTCAAAAAATGTAAATAAGGATTTAATTGAGTATTCAATCAAAAAATGTTTATAAGAATTTATTTGATCAAATAAATAGAGGAATAAGATAATGAAGTATATGAATCTTAAATAATAATAAATTTGAAATAAAAAATAATAATTACCTAAAAGAAGAACTAGAAATACTAAAAATAAATTAAATACAGATGAGGAGGAGTGCTAAAGAAGATTCACCCGTCATCTCATAGTTTGATTATTATCACACGTCTGTCTTATATAAAATTCAAAATACGGTTGAGATATAATTTCAAAATATTCAGATACCTGCAAAATATTTTATTATTTCAGATTATTATTCAATCAAAAAAAGGTAAATAAGAATTTTTTTGAGTATTCAATCAAAAAATGTTAATAAGAATTTATTTGATAAAATAAAATGAGGAATAAGATAATTATGTAAATAACTGGTATTCACGATTCAAGTTGGAAGTCTTAAGTAATAAAATATAAATAACAGAACAAATATCTTAAATAATAATAATTAATTTGAAATATTCGTCCTCTAGTCAACTTAAATTGACGATTCTAGTTCATTGAAAAATTCGTCCTCAAGTCGACTCAACTATATAATTTGTATTCCTAAATCAAGTTGGATGTCTAAAGTAAAAAAATGTAAATAACAGAACAAATATCTTAAATAATAATTAATTAGAAGTTCATCCTCTAGTCGACTCAAATTGACGACTCAAAATTTCAAAGAACTATTCGTCCTCTAGTCGACAACTATATATTTTGTATTCACGACACAGGTTGGAAGTCTTAAGTAAAATGTAAATAACAGAACAAATAGATTAAATAATAATATCTATTTTAAAATATTCGTCCTCTAGTCAACTCAAGTTCATAGAACTATTGATTAATCGACACAACTATATAGTTTGTATTAACGACTCATGAAAGTCTAAAGTAAAAAATGTAAAAAACAAAAAATATCTTCATTAATAATACCAAATTTCAAATATTCGTCCTCTAGTCGACTCAAGTTCATAGAACTATTGATCCTCTCGACACAACTATATAATTTATATTAACGACTCATGAAAGTCTAAAGTAAAAAATGTAAAAAACAAAAAATATCTTAAATAATAATAACTAATTTGAAATATTCGTCCTCTAGTCGACTCAAGTTCATAGAACTATTGGTCCTCTAGTCGACACAACTATAAAATTTATAATAACTTAACGAGTCATGAAGGTCTAAAGTAGGAAATGTAAAATACAAAAAATATCTTAATTAATAATACCAAATTTGAAATATTCGTCCTCTAGTCGACGACTCAAGTTCATAGAAATATTCGTCCTCTAGTCGACTCAACTATATAATTATATTCACGAGTCACGACTCAAGTTGGAAGTCGAAAATAGTAAAATACAAAAACTATCTTAATTAATAATAAATAATAATAGATCAGAAATATTCGTCCTCTAGTCGACGACTCAAGTTCATAAAATATTTGTCCTCTAGTCGACGACTCAAGTTTATAAATATTCGTCCTCTAGTCGACGACTCAAGTTCATAAAATATTCGTCCTCTAGTGACCTGAGTTTATAACTCAAGTCAGTTTGGGTCGATTTTTTTGACCCAAAACTTGACTCAGTTTTCGACTCCGTCGACTCGACTCAGTCGATTAACAACACTAAGAGAAACCATTATAGAGAATATATTTTATAGAGAAACATTTATAGAGAAAACAATTATAGAGAATTGTTTTATAGAGAATGTAGTTTATACAGAATGTTTTATATAGAGAATAATTTTTATAGAGAATTAATTTATAAAGAATGATTTTATAGAAACTGAACCAACCATTTTTAAATTTTTATATATTGCATATATATGTCAGCTACCTAAATTTATAGAAGGGTTTGTAACTTTACCCTTATGGATATAATATGACGGACGAGAATCTTTATTCTAATTTTAATTAAGAAAAGGTTTTAACCAGTTGTTTGGGTAAAAAATATGCTACATTCCCGTTCGTTCTACGTTTCGGAACACGTTTCTAAAAATTATATAATTTTCAATTTTATTATACAAATTTTATTCATAAATCTTTTTAATATAGATAACTAAGAATTCATTAATCTCTAATGATACACATTTAGATGTATGCGATGGCTTTAATATAAATTTTAGTGACGAAAAGTGCTGACCTCTATTTGGGGTTCCAAGTCTTTTTATAGAGAAACCAATATTTTTGATTTAATAGAAGCACCATAATTTTGTCCCACCTAAAAAACCAAAACCGTCAATTGAAGGTTTCTATATAAGATATTATAGCGAATGGGGGAAATTTCCCGGGAAATATGGGAAATTCCCCCTATAGTTTCCCCAATTTTTATAATACTTTTTTTTTGCTTAATTCGCCGAAAAAAACAGTTCTGATGTTTATAATTTTATCAATTATAGGACGAAATGCTTCGACCCGATAATTGCATCAAATCCTACAAGTATTTTTATTAACTCATTAATTTTTCCGACGATAACATCCGTAACAGTTATCGATAATCTGGTATTTAAAAATTTTTTTTAAGCATATATTTTTTAATGTTTATCTAATAAATTTTAAATGAAAAATAAAAGTTAAAAGTTTGTTAGCCTTCCTATTGTTAAAATTTTTCAAAGATCCGTTAGCACTTTTAAAAATTCGAAAATATTTTAAATAACGATTATGACAATTATCATTCTTCTATGGTACATATTCATTTAAGTTTTATTTTAACATCATTACAATATATATTCTTACCTATTTGCTTTGAAAAAATTGCAAAAATACCGATTATGACAATTGTCACCTTTCTATGGTACATCTTCATTGAAATTTTATTTTAACATCTTTACAATATATATTTTTACCTATTTGTTTTAAAAAAATTCAAAAAAGTTCACAAATAACGATTATGATAATTATCACCTATCTATGGTACATCTTCACTGAAATTTTATTTTAACATCTTTACAATATATATTTTTACCTATTTACTTTAAAAAAATTCAAAAAAGTTCAAAAATAACGATTATGACAATTGTCACCTTTCTATGGTACATCTTCACTGAAATTCACAAATAACGATTATGACAATTGTCACTTTTCTATGGTACATCTTCACTGAAATTTTATTTTAACATCTTTACAATATATATTCTTACCTATTTACTTTAAAAAAATTATAGTTCAAAAATAACGATTATGACAATTGTCACTTTTCTGTGGTATCTTCACTAAAATTTTAACTTAACATGTTTACAATATATATTTTTACCTGTTTGAAAAATTCAAAAAAGTTCAAAAATAACGATTATAACAATTGTCACTGTTCTATGGTACATCTTCACTGAAATTTTATTTTAACATCTTTACAATATATATTTTTACCTATGCTTTGAAAAATTTCAAAAAAGTTCAAAAATAACGATTATGACAATTATTTGTATGGTACATCTTCACTGAAATTTTAACTTAATATGTTTACGATTTTACCTTTACTTATATATGCTGCTAACTAAAAAAATCAACTTAGTCGACTAAATTAGTAGTTTTAGTCGACTAAATCAGTTGTTTTAGTCGACTATATTAGTCGTTTTAGTCGACTATGTTAGTCGACTATATTAGTCGTTTTAGTCGACTATATTAGTCGTTTTAGTCGACTAAATTAGTCGTTTTAGTCGACTAAATTAGTCGTTTTAGTCGACTAATTAGTCGTTTTAGTCGACTAATTAGTCGTTTTAGTCGACTAATTAGTCGTTTTAGTCGACTAATAAACTAATTTAGTAGCTAAAGTTTTTAGTCGATTTCCATGACTACGACTATTAGTCGTACTCGAAAGAACTCGACTAATTAACAACACTACTTGTCCCTGATAAAATTTTCACTACTATTATTTCAATTTCTCTCAAATACTTTGTTGATAGCTTATATTATTTATTTTTACATGTCTTTATTTCATTTATTTAAATTTTAGCGTATTGGATTGAAAGGAAAAATCTTTTCTTTTAAACATGATTTATTATTAACTATATTACAAAAATATATAGAAATAAAGAAATCCCACCCACTTTTTCTCCCATATTATTATTTTAGTCCTACTTTATAAAACACAAACCCAATATAACACTCTATTATTTTTCCAATTATTTTTCAATTTTACAATTATTTTCAATATTTAATTTAACTACAATCACGTTAAACAAGTTCTTTGTTTTACCAACTCTCACCTTAGTGTAAACCGAAATATACTGAAACTGAGGTAACAAATTTTTATTTTTCTTAATTTATAGACTTTAAGAGTCAAAAAAAATAGGAAAACGTAATAAAGTCATTTATCGTAAGAATAATTTTAAGGGGATAATCATACCTTTTGTATAGTTGGAATGTGATTTTCATTGTCAAATAGCTAATATATTAGAGTGTATACTTTTGATTTATAACATACGCATATTTCTGCTTTAAAAATTTTTTTTTTTTTAAATTTTGTTCGTCAAATTTTAAATCTCTTTTAGTTTTAAGCGTTAACTGATATGGAGAACACAGTGTACGGTAAATTACTTATTGGGTCCCTTAATATTAATGGTTTGAATAATAAATTAGTAGTGCTACTAAGAGATTTTGCGTCAATGAAATTAGACA